TCAATGTTTTCATGAGCGAGCGAGCGAACGCGATTAAAATGCGGTCGGTTTCCGGTCGGACAAGACCGCGTGGTCGGAAATTAAGCGATAAGCGGTCGATGTAAAAGCGGAAGGTTGGGCGAAATGAGTACCGTATGACCATGTTTCTCCGACGAAGTCCACCGTCCACCGCCGTCCAGCGTGGGGAGAACCCTGACTGACAATAATGCTGACAATGGACGTTAGATAAACACGCATTGTTTGCAACTGAAAGCTTATCACCCGTTATATCAGAATCGTCAACAACAGAGTATACAGATAAGATGTTATCATTTAATTCCTTCCAAAGATAAACACTATTCAAATATCCACGAAACGGCAGTTGTAGTCTTTTCTGCTAGTGTTTTAAAACACTAATTTGAGCAACGTTATTTCGCAATTTCGATCTTTTGTAAACCAGGGATGATGTATCAAGGTCTAAAGTAACCGTTTTATCAAATTTTGAAAAATCAAAAAAAAAGTGAAAATTTCCCTTCTCGCTACCTTAATAATTTCCCTTTCTGCAACGATTCTCTAAGTCAAGCCTACGTCACAAACTGGTCAAAATCCCCCAAACATTGCCAGCAACCAATCACAGACTAGCTTAAACAATAGCTTTCCCTGACGATAATACTTAGCAACGTTATTTCCCCCACGCTAACTTGAAAAATCTTTTGTTTTTGTCTCATTTCCGTTTCCGGTCTGTCTTAGAGAATGACACAAACATTATTTGTCTTCCAATAGTTTCTGGTTTGGTCTGCCAATAACTTAAGAGAGCTTTTTTTCTACCTCTACAAACTGGCTAAGAATACAGGCAGGCAGCAATTACATGAAGTAGACATATTTCCTTTATAACTGTTTTCACTTATGCAAGATATGATGATGGTGATTATATAGTAAGTACATGGAAGGTACTAACGGAAGGAGCCACGACGCTATTGTTTTAGCTTTACCCCATGATCGTTTGTCAATGTTTGTTCACAAACATTCTTGTTAGCTTTTAGCACCTTCGTACAATGGGTTATGCTAATCTCGAACATTCAGCAATATTCAGAGCATGTTCAGAAGGGATAGTCGAACCTCGCATGTACAATATTGAAAATGGCGTCTAGTTTGAATGCTGTTGTTTCCGGAGATCTTGGTGAACTCTCATGGAAAATTGTCACATATAACATTGATTAAAGAAGAACTGATGAAATATCGTGAATTTTGTATTTGTAATGGTAATGAGACTTAATCAATGATTGCTTGTGACGATTGCATTATTCAATGGTACCATTGTCAGTGCGTGGGTTTGGCGCCCGAAACTGTCAACATTTTTGACCACCAGACATCGACGAACACCAACAGAAAAGATAGTATCGAAAGAAGAGCATGCCTAGACACTTTTTCTGTGATAATATTTTTTTAGGAGTCCTTAGGAATTGTTGTTGTATGCACTCAAAATCTTGTTATAGTTACAGTTGCTAATAATTAAAACATGTGAAATATGTCAAACGTTCATCTGTTGAATTTCCGGTTGTGAAATACGTATTTTGACCCTTCACATCTAAACAAACCAAGTGCGCATGTGTGATGACCGTAGTTTCATAATGCGCATATATTTTATGGTCACATTAAAAATCGGCGAGGTTATATCATACTCCGCTAACTCGTTACTTGTGTAAACAATCGCAAACTATCATCGACATCAAAGATGAGCTAGACAATGTCCTTATCAGGATTAATTTGGGTTGAAACAAAAGGAAATAAACCAGTTAAGAGGCTTAAGTGGCCACTTGATAGGCGTCGTGGCTCCTTCCGTTAGTACCTTCCATGGTAAGTATAAGTAATTTAATATATTTTGTCATTTTGTACACTTGTTTGTGTCTATTTTTTTAATGTTTGTTACTGAGATGGCAGTTCTAAATAAAATTCCTACGCTCAAAACAACAGATTATATTCCTAAAGCCTAAGTAATAATATTACAGGCGTTCTAGCAATAACATCAAATAATCTGACAAATAGAAAAAAAGTGATTATAGATTCAATACAGATTTCTATTCACAGTTTCACAGCGGAAAAAAAACAGTTACGTAACGCATCATAATTTATTCATAAAGCAGCAGGTCACGAAATACCAAACGATAATTTACTGTAAACAACAAAACAAAACCAAGAATGTTTTGTTTTGTTTTTCAATCTGCAATTCTGCTTTTTATATTCCGTCACCGACAGCATAATAAGTATCATCAAAGAACGACCACCTTTAAATAACGTGATGAAGCCGAATTCTGTATGATTACTGGATATAAAAGCCGGGCAATGCGACCGAACAGCGAACATTCACAACACAACAACAATGACTTGCGCGACACGTGAAAAATCGCGATTATTCGTCCGTTTTACATCTTTTGAATCACTCACCTCGTCTGGAGTTAGTTCACTCATTGTTTTTACTCCAATGATGCACGCTAGATAGATATATCAGTTGGATTGGTTGAAATCGCCTAGTTTCTGCCAGCGGCTTTTCCGACTTACAGTTCTACGGTGGCCATCTTGTTTTGAATACTTCGATTCCCTGTTCCAGATGTATCGCATGGTGGCGCTATAAGCAATAAGGTATTATTAAAGTCGCAGCCCACTTCGTAAATATATGAAACATCACTCCAAGAATAAGCTAAAAACACAAAATGTGATATCTTCGACTCATTTTTTTCGCTCATTTTGCGATTACTTTAAGGCAAAAGCATTTTCTCATGAAAACTCGAACTATCGTCCATTTGTTATTATCCGTATATTAACAAATAGGTCCGCGCCCCCATTTTTTATGTTTTCAGAGTGTGATTTCATCACATCGAATTATTTTTTTTAAATAAATTTCCATAAAACATTCATACTTTCATCAAACAGCACCTTGCGTCAAAATAGGAATGCAACTACATCTAAGTTCCCACTGCGTGTAATCATGTAACTAAAATTGTGTGTCATCTTTTGATTAAGCATCAACAGGGCCTAAGATTTTGTACAATGCATAAGAAATCTTACCTTTAGATGCACCCCTGAAATGAGGTAAAGCGGCTATGAGTGATTACTCTTTCTCATCAAATCTAAGACAACTATCCTAGAAAAATCGAGTAACTATCGGAAAAAAAATTGCCGTATTCCGGTAAAAGTCGTTCCTTTTTCTCAATTATACACTAATTCAAGAACAAACAATTATTACATTCCTAAAATATGGTCAATTTTGACTAAAAAATATATTATTCGACAACTCGACGTAAAACTCTCTTATTTATGGATGATCTGAGCTGAACTGAATACAGAGAATGACTGAAATGCACGCGAGACCGAGGATTCCCGATGTGTAATCACCATTCGGCAAAATTCGGCATTTAGCGTGAGCCACCAGCGTAGCCGAGACGCACGTTCGTCAGAGATAAGGCCGATTGACACCTGTAAACAATAGCGTTGCCAGTCTGTTTATTAGTTGTCTGAGATCAAATGAATGTAAACAATTTGCACAGCTCTTTCAACGTGTCAACGCAGTTTGGGTGACGCGAAAGGCACCTTCAAAGTTATGATAAAGTGGAAATTAAAAAAAATCGACTTGTTT